GTCCTACCAATAGGACCAAGTTGCAAAAACAAGGTCAAACAACTTCTATACAACGAAAGTAGACTGCGGCCACACAAAAGGCCACACCATCTTGGTCTTCATACCTATCAGGAACCTAGTCAACATCTCGGTGAATAAGTCTAGAATAATTCTGATTGGATATATAGTGAATATATATAAAGAAAAGTTTGTTGTATACAACTCGCTTCGTTGACCATTGCTGAGCCCAGCTTTACTTTCTTCCACAACCTTCAATTATAAATGAAAGTAAGCCCAACGAAAGCGACTCTGAAGTGAACAATGCAATAACTCTACACTAGTCCACATTTCGCTTCGTATACTTACTCGAACTTTATCAGCTGCATTCACTTCAGACACTACCTAATCCTCATTTTATCAACCTCTCCATGTTTTTCAGCTTTTTTGTTCTAGTTTTGCTGTCGATTGCCGTATTTTTGCCACAGCCTCCTGTCCAAACACGTGAAATTGACCTAGAGCCCCTAACTGCATTGCATCAGACAGTCACTGAGTTGGGTGGAGATGACAAAGTATCTAATGGATTCGCGAGTCAATGCGATCCATGCGGAATTCTGCGCCACCAGCTGAAGCGGGCACAATATTTGAGAATGGGCAAGAGGGCTCAGTACATGAGAGTCGGTCGCTGAGATAATATCCAACTGACGGGCATGGTCAGCAAGACTGATTTTTAACCTTTCCTTAACAACCCATTATAATCTCTTTATTCGTACAGATCTTGGTGAGCTTTCAGAGATACAATAAAGAGGATATGACTTACATTAAAGCTTTCTAAGCCGCCATCAGAATTAGCCTCATTGAATGAGGTTCGATATAAGCACACATTGCATCCTCTTCTAAGCGTATGCATGAGACAACTATTTTTCCTATCCTAAATTCACACAGGATCCAAAATAATTGACTAGACTATCTCAGAGATGTTATAATATTACGTTGCCCTATCGCATAACAGTGCTTTACTTAGATGACGTTCGAACGCATTGTTAGTGGCAATCGTTACGATGATGCTGATTTGAGCCAGTAGAAGATCCGAGATTTTCACATTATGTTGACCTCTCAAGGAAGGAATCTCCATTGGTTTCTAAATAAGATTCTTTATCCCATGGATGCACTATATAACCTGGCATTTCGTAAATCATAACTTTCGTAAAAAGTTTATATTCCAGTAAGTATTGTTGCTCAATTACGGGATATGCGACATTTCGCAACCCTATTTTCTGAGGAAAATCTCCTTTGCTGGCATCAATGGCGCCGAATAGCTCTCTAAACTCCCTTACTGCAGGCTCTGCCTTACTCGTCTCGCCTAGGAGGAAGAAAATAATTTTGCAATTCCACTTTATGCTAGTTCGTTTATGAGTATCTTAATAGAACACTCTGTACTAGGTCTTACCTAATAAGATCATGGATGGGAAGATCAGGATTGTAGCGGTCTATTTAAGCTGTATTAATGGCAATTTCCCGCATTGTACCGGTGACTTGGTACATTCACAAACGTTCCGTCGACATTCTGGTCATCGGAATGTACCAAACCAACGGTCCTATGCTGGAAACCATCATAAATACTCTGGCAGAGGATGCTGGACTGAGTACTTGCCACAAGGTCTCCCTGTCACTCTGAACAAGTTGCGAGGACGAATTCAAACCATCACTTGCTCAATAACATTATTTATTCTATGCCCTCCAAGAAATGCGAGGGCCATGGCAAAAATAATAAAAAAACTTAATTAGACTACGAAAATGATTAAAGCCCATACTTTGCTAAGGCATTAAAATTCCTTCTTAAATGCGTGCAACTCAGCAGCAGCCTGGATACAGTTCACCGCATAGAGTATGTTCATACTTTTAGCTTAACAATGGGCCAAATATATACACTAAAAAGGAGCTTTTTCAATAATAACCAAATGCTTGGGATAAGTTTATCGGCTTTTGAAGATGGTTTACCGAAGAGTGATTTGTTCAATACGGAGATCAGGTCGGCCAGGCAGGCTGTAAATGGGTGGATTCTAATCTTTTTCTCCAGCATCTTTCTTGATTAGTCTCCTTTCGAAATGAGAATTGTTCACTCCATCTTCGACACGATTTTCAACTAATTAATCGTCTGATCCATATCTAAAGTCTCTTCAACCTGATTTAGGACAGAATAGATTTAATGGGATTTCAACAAACAAGAGTGTATCCAAATTATTTTCAGCAGCATGATTGTAATCTATAATAATATTCACCAAATTAATTTGCAAGTAAGAAGTTGGTCACGACCTGATTTAGAATTATATCGGAGTTGCTGATGAGACCAATTTGAGCGCGATCGAGACTGCAGTCCAGCCTAGATGATTTGGCCTTTTTGGAGACAAGGATAATTGATATTCAATTGCATTCTGAGGCCTACTCACCAGATTAGGAAAAGGCCTAACTACCAGTCCTTAAATCACTTTGAGCGACTTGAGCTGACTAAGTTCTTACTCGATAATTGCCGATTGTCTCAGAACCTACTCATAACGAAGTATAATTGTGAAGTTATATGAGACGTATTCACCATATTTTGTTTAAAGTGATGAAGAATTAATAGGTGAATTTTCCCACAATGACATATTCAACTACCAGTCCTTCATCAACTCATATAACTGAGTTATTTGTAGACCTGAAACTCAGCTTATAAACGAAAAATAATTGCGAATTGTTTGCACATATCCTCTTCTAATTTCATGACTGATTGCACTTTTAACGAATATGTACAAAGCCAACTTGTGCCACCCGTGTGACAATACTATCGAGAAAAAGTGGTCATAACTGCACAACTGTGTAGAAAAGTCGACTATCTATTCCCTGAACAACAAAAGATGATCATTAGTTTGAACGTAAATACGAAGACCAAGATTTATCAAGTTTACGGTCCGACTCGGGAAATTGTCATGCATACCATGGACTCCGGACAAGGTGGATTCCTCTAGGTCCCCTTGCCAATATGACCAAGCTATGAAAACGTGGTCAAACAACTACTATCTTTAGTTTGCGTTCTTATTTGGGAAAAAATGATTACATTTCTGCCAACACCCATATGTCATAATTAATTTTATCACTCATTATTAATTGACTTCTTAAGAAAATAAGTATATCCCATAGCCATTTCTGGCTCAAGGCATGGACTTCCTCTTGTTCTATATAACAGCAAGATGACTAGGATGAATCTTCAACCTGAACTTTTAATGAATATAATCTGTAATTATGTAGTAAAACTTATAGATGCCTATATTTTTGGGTTGATACTGTGAGCAGGATTTTTCAATAAATATCTCTATATCAAATAAGGTTTGGACCTATAAGATATTCCTTTTATAATAACTCAAGTTACTCAAGGTAATTCAGGAGTGTTGGCTGGATTTCCGGTGGCGAAAGTGGTAGAAGAATCTGCGGTGCCAGTAAAGTGCACTGAATCTTGTTCCTACAAGGCTTTTTCATCCTAGTTGTACAAGAGTCTCGGCCTCATCTACATCTTAGCTGCACCTTCGGCGAGACTCAATAACCAAAACTATGTGGCAACGTTGCCCCTGGGCAGGGACTACTCTGTTTCTCATCCTACTTGGAATACTGATAGGACACAGAAAAGTTCGAGCTTTCGGCCCAGCCCGAATTAGGACGCCTTTGGGAGGCAAGGTTGAGTGGAATCGGGAAGCTTTCATGTCATTTCCTTATGTGAAACTAGAACATCAGTCTTTGAATCACGTCAAGCGAACTCAGCTGACGCGAGTTCTTATTCTACTGTATCACTATTCCAGTAAAATATTTTTAAATAATTTTTTGGTACAAAATTTTGGAGGTCAAGTACAAATGCATGACAAATAAGGGTTTCTCCATTTAAACTCCT